CAGGTTTTTTTCTTTCAAATTCGATTCAAATTAAGAGGTTTAGAAGTTTTCCTAGACCGACTTTGGTTTGGTGATTTTCAGTTACTATTTTCTTTTTTTTCAATCTCAAAATCATGATAAATCTAATTAAGACGGATAAACTGCAATCGGTATAGATGTAGAATATGTATGCTTCCAACTTTAGAAAAGAAAAAAGTTATTTTATTTTAACCTTAAGAGTAATTTCATGAATTTTCACGAACTTAGAAGCATAGCATATATGGCATGCGACTGCCAACTACACGCTCTGAATGATGGAGGGTTTGAATTAAGACAATTAATGAATTACTGTCTTGTACTTCTGTCTCATGAGTACGTTGGTTGATATGTTGACAGTAATATAAAAAGACTAACTTTCGAACATTGCCGATAAGTAACAATAACATTGCACTTAATAAAATTTGGTCAAAATTATCCGAGTTAACTCCCTTGAGCTTTAGTGTGGAACATATCAGGGGTACGTAGTTCTTTACCATGAAATGCATGCCGACCTGGAATATGTAAGGGGACTACTTTTATAATTATTGTAATGTTGTATTATTAAACAAACTAACATACAACATCTGATTTTTGGAAAAACATTGCCTGGAATATATTTATGCTTTTAAGGTGTTAATTGTTTTTTTTGTATTTCTGAAAGTTACTCCTCTACACACACACATACAGTATAGAAAACGATCGTGTTGAAAATGCGAAAGCATCCATTTTCTTCGAGTGTTGCACTGCTGCGATAATTTCCCTGTTGTCCAGTATACAAAGTTGGTGTTGGGATATTAAGTTACAGTGTACATGTAAGTTTTGCATTGAGTGTTTTAGTGACAAAAATGATTTAATGGGGTCATGTATTTGCTCAATCAAACTTTTTTTTGATATTGAATTTGTTTAATGATCCAAACTTAAAAATTAAAAACGAAGACTTTAAAAAAAATACTAATTCTGACATATTATGTTTAATCTTTTATAGCGAAACGCTCCGATTGCAAAAGAAGAACTTATTTTTCATTAGTTTTTCTTAATGTTGTTTTACCTGTAGTTTACATGTATATTGTAATTATATTCTATGATCCTACCAGTGACCGACTGTAATTAAAATAAACTATTACCAATACAATTATATTTTCTTATTCTTTATTTACGTCATCACACCCATGAATGTCATTACAATGTTGTGTACATCTATATATCTTAATTATTCTAAACAGCATTGTCTTTAATTAACAACCATACGTAAGTCGTCTTGAATGCCCTCGATTGCTTATACAAAACGTACGCTCGTATTCATCACTGGTGTAGCCTTTACCTATATTGTATGTATTAGTTACTGAATAAAATACTGTAAATGCAAATGTTGTCCCATTTTAACTATGAAAGACGAGAGAAAACATGGCATTTACATCTGAATGTATGAAATGGGATTTAATATGTCATTAACATAAAAGGTTTTAAAAAATAGTTTAAGAATCGAATTTTCATTAAAATTGAATTCTTCTTTTAGAAATATAATATACACATGGGAATGACCATGCCTAAGTAAATATCATGTCTGAATAAATCAATATATATGCTTGAATCATCAAAATAGGGTGTGATTTATATAGAAACGGGGATTAAAACCTGCATAAGGAGAATACATATGTACAGATAAAAAAAGTTATCGAAAGAAAAATCAGATTCCAGATTGGTCAGAGACAAATTTGGAACATGCTTAATATACATATTGCTGTTCTCCAGTGAACAACAGACACAGTAAATCGAAAACAACTTTGAAGTATGTAAATATTGTTACCCGATTAACTGACTTACGTGAGTGTTACCAGTGGATAAGGAACAACTTGAACAGAATATCCTTGACTTACCTGAGCCGTGTTTCCCAGTCGACAGGGGGAGGGACCAGCGTATGCTTGGATTGTATGCAATTGTATTTCCATTGGGCAGAGAAACCAAACGTGCCTGGAGTTTGATCGAACTTGACATGAACATTCTTGACTTGTATCAGTCATTTTCATTTATGAATAGAGACAATGTAAAAATAAACTTGACGTACATGAGCTGTGTCTGTTCCCAATCGGACTGAGATGGATTTGACCAATACAGATTGGAAGGGGAAAAGAGTGAAATCCATGCGCGCTGTTCAACAGTGATAATGACGTACTCGACCTCTGTCCCGATTAAACAACAGATAACTTGACGAGAACAGACATATGTACTGTTCAATAAGCAAGATGCCTAAGAGTATACGTCCTACCAAACTTACTTGGACCATCATCAAACTGTGACAATTAATCAGGTAAGATATATGCTAATACTTTTTTTTTTTATCACATTTTAGGGTATCAAGGTCGTGAAGAAAGTGACTATCCAAAAGTCGATTGACCTCGATTTAATCTATTTCGACTAAGTACAGTTTTCATTGTTCTCGAGTAATAAGTGCTCGTTTACCCCTCCCCTCTTTGTGAAGGGGTATCTAGTAATCGCCTTTCAGTGCCTCCGTCTGTGTGTGCGTGCGTACCTAAGTCTACCCGTCCGTATCAGGATATGTAGGGTTACAATTGACACAATATGTCGGAAACATTGTGGTTAAAATTGCAGCCATAAAATTTCATAAATACTATAAGAGTATTGGTCTGAAAAAAAGTCTAATTTCAATTACTTGCATATTGATGTCTAGTATAAGCTTGTGAAGCGTTTCTCTGACTACTTCTTATCGCACCTGAAACAGGGCTGATGCCATGTTTACGTCATTATTAGGCATACATGAACTCAGGAGTTGTCACGAGAGCAGCATCCAACGAACAGCGACTATTTCGTGGCCGACTGGGTCAGAGATAATGTTTACACAATAAACGTGCCCATTGTTACTGTTAGATGATTTAGTTTACACCTGTCAAGTAAGCGCCTACAACTTTTGGAGGTGCACAAACCCATTAAACCCATTTTCCCTCCTCTATCACATTCCATTGGTCAAAGGCTTCATCGAAAACTTTCGTTGTATTGCGCTGTTGATCGACTTCCAGCTTTGACCTTGTTCTTGTCGATTCTGTCTGCCTGGTTGGTCGACCCCGTTTTAGCACTGACTTGGATGATGAAAAAAAGAGCGTTAGTGGCCCGATACCTTTAAAATAGCATTCCAAGGTTGATATATATACCAAAATCTCTTCGTTATTAAGGAAGTAACATTTGTAGCCGAACGGAATCAAAATACTGGCATGAAATGCTTAACAAAGCAAAAATTGCCACATTTCCTAAGCCACTTCGTTCTCTGCCAACATATTTCAAGACCTTATTTTAATCTGAACAAATCATTGATACGTTCGGCTCAAATGTCGGCAGTGTAACGGAGTCTTACTGTACTCACAAATTAACATTGAAATTGAAGTCAAATGTCATTTCCAGTACGTGGCGCACAAACAGAAAATAATACAAAAGGCTGTTTAGGATTTGTGTGTGCTGATTTAAAAATGGACTAAAAATTTGAACTTAATTAACATTCCTATTGGTCAACATTGAAGATTGATTTTTTTGATTTTTTTTTTTATAAATAAAAGCAACATTGATCATTGCATGGTATGGACATTAAACGCTTATTTCAACCGATTAATCATAAAATGATGTCGCTGTTGCGATTATTAATAATAAAACTTTCTATCTTAAAAAAAAAGGCAACGAAGGCCCACCTGGGAATATTTTAAGCTAAATTAATAGTTTAATAATTTAAGCGTGTTTCTAAACGCCACGATTTCTATGCAATATTTTGACAAATAAATATTTTACACTCCATGCTAGTATACTTGAATTTCCTGTACACAATGGTTAAATATTACACTCTTCAGTCCTAAATATGGTGAGAAATGTTTTTACCAAGTCGGACAGGTGGGTGCCAGGTAAGGTTCACCAACTCCTTGCCTGTTTATCTAATGTTCCAGCAAAGGAAAAAACTTGCAGTTCGATCTTTTTAAAGTAAAAATATATTCTGTGGCCATTCACTTTTTATTCAATGATTGAACTAATGTACATGGTCGTGAATATAAAATTACTACAATAAAACAAAAGTTTAATTGTTTTTAATATTTTGTTACGATGAATGAAACACCATGATGCGGACAATGGAGACAATGATAACGCACGAGACAGAGGTGTTTTAGTGTATAGAAGTAGGACAGTTTTTTTTCTTTCAAATTCGATTCAAATTAAGAGGTTTAGAAGTTTTCCTAGATCGACTTTGGTTTGTTGAATTTCAGTTACTGTTTTTCTTTTTTCAATCTCAAAAGCATGAGAAATCTAATTAAGACGAATACACTGCAATCGGTATACATCTGAAGGCATTTTCGAGATGTTTTTTTCATGATGCCATATATACAATTAAACCGGTCTAAACTGAATGAAGTTGCATAGACTGAATTTGAATCTAAGTTCCGTTTAAGAAAATCTGACTGGGAACTCTAGTTATGATTAAATAGACCTGGGAACTAGACCTTAGTTCCGAGTAGTATATATATTGTAAATATTCTTGTCATTTTCAATCGTTACCTGGCAAAAACCTCAAACGTGCACAGTAATACCCTAACTCGCTACAGGAATCGAAACCACAATATCTAATCAAATTACGACTATTATATCCTGCATAAAGGAATTGGTCTTTTACGGAATTCTATTCCACACGGTCCAGTTTCGGTGTCCCAGAACAGAACAAGGATCTATACTCCAGTGTCTATAGTAGACATAACTAGATTCTCGAGCCTACTGCCTTCAGCATTTAGTATTTACTGATTACTCTTCTATGTTCTAGCCGTTCTATTTGATAAAAAGACCTGTATTTCTAGAAACTTGATGATTGATTCATTTGACGATGAGTGACATTTTGTGTCATCATCTAAAAAACGGTCGATTTACATTTGAGTGTATAAAAGTGCCGTTACAACGCCTACATAATGACAATAGGGTTTCAGTTTACACATAGACGTCATCGGTCATTGTAGCATACTATCTGTCGGCAGGAGTGACATACGTAAATGATCGTACCGTGGGTTACCATCATATATCACTATGTATACACGTTAGATGCATTGTTTTGCTGTATACGTTCAATTGATATTTACATGAAATTAGAATATTTATGTTTTAATAGCGTACGGTAGATTTCTATAGCCTTGTCCTGATCGATAGTTATGTCGCCAGTGTACCTTCAGACCTGTGTAGAATGCTGGCCGGGTTATGCCTCGCTCGTATCGACCCGCAGGTATCCACCTTGGTTTATAAATTACTCATTTGCTTCCAGATCTATAACCCGATCCTCGCTCTGGGCAATGCGCAATATATATTTATTACGGCCCCGCCATTGATGATGATGTTGCTAAGAGATACGGCTACAGAGGTAAAACCGGAAGTGGGTTCCAAGTGACAGAGATACAGGTATGTATGTGTAATTTTATACTTACTATTGTCTTTGTTATGTGACTATTGTTTTATCGTATATTACACGTGTTAGAATAATTATCCTTAATCTCCGTGAATCTATTTTTAACCAATAATCAGATACTGAATCCTTGTTCGAACCAATGTTGGCCTCCTATATGTGTCTGATGGGCGCCATTATTGATCGATGAAACCAGACGGTGCAGTAGAATTTTCGAAGAAATATATAATAGATGTTTGTAAGCTTTCATAGCTGTGTTATTTTCGAAGAAATAAGGTTTGTTTTATTTATAAGAGTAGTCAAATGACATTTTAACGTTCCGAGTGTCCAATCAGCCAGTCTTTGTTCTAAAATTTGAGTTTCTGACAGATAGCACACCAATTCATCCCCAGTTGACCGAATTCATTACAACAAGCGTTATGGATAAATACGGGTGTACATTTTCACCGAGGATTCAATTTCTACCAAAGTGATGGATGAATTACTTTAAACCAGGTGTGAAAGGATGATCTATTGTAGTAATATTAGTTTACAGTGATAGAGATGTCAATATAGGGAATAACTGTCACAGTGTCGGGATACTCTATGTGGAGAGATGGTCTGGTGCTAGAGGGAGTATTTGTTACAATAATACTACAAAGAGTCAAAAACATATTCTTTGAATAGGGGGGTTTACACAAATATATTCTGTGAATATAGGAATTTTTTGTTAAAATAAATTTGTCTGTAATAGTAACACTATACAGTGGCATAATCTGTTGAAAATATCGAGAACAAAGTTTTGATGAAATAAAGACAACCAACACCAGTCACACCAGACGTGTTGTGTCAACAGGTCATTGTTACACCAACAAAGACTGGAACGCCTTAACTTTGTGTTTTAATCTAAAAACAATTCAGTTTATAACACAAATAATCACAATGTATTGTTTTTGTGTAAGAACTTAGCACTAGATTGTCAATATCAGTGAACCCGACATATAGAAACAAACATACAGAAAAGAAAAAAACATTCTCGTATAGCAGACTTATTGTGGGCGATATTATTGGAATCAGTCTTGGACCGGTCATGAATAATTCGTAATGATACATTAAACCCCTATAATGAGTACAACTATGTGAAGTATTGATCGGGACAGTTGTCACTGTCAGTATGTAAACGTTAGCTCCTTGAATGTTTCAGTACAGAAAGCGTGTCGGCTTTAACACAGTCCGTGGTTTTATATCCATAATGCACTTTGTGTGGCTGAACAGTGATCTATCAACAGTTGTTTATAACGGGTTTTAATGAATTCGCACTCACTAGCTGTTGTGTTTTGGTCGCACTACACGTCTCTATCACTGTTCACTAACAGACATGGTGCCAGACGCTGACAGTGGACTGCCAGGGACAGAACGGAGAACGGCCGGCCTGGAACTCACATCCACCATTCTGAGGACATGTATTACGACATTGATCGTAGTATTGATGCAGTGTTGTGGTGTTGTTGAAGGTAGGATCACGTATAAGTGTAACCTGCCACACGGTGTAATGTTTTTAATTCAAAAACTAAATCATTGTTTTTATGTCAGTTGCTTTATCAAAGGATTATTTCGACGCAAGTTTACCGGCTGTAATGACCTCTGTGCTTGATGAGTAACTTAATACGTCACTTCCTGAAGTAAAATAAGAAAAGAAAAGGTAAATACCATGACTTGTTTGCAAAAGGTTAAAATAGAACGACAACAACATATCCATTGAAAGCATATCAAAACATTTTGGGGAGACACCATAAACCAATGTCATTGTTCCTGCTTCACACGTGGCATTAAAATACTTAACCCTTTCACCCCTAAACAACTTTAGTATACTCTCCCATGTACTGATAGGGATGAGTCTATTATGATTTACGGTGGGGAACGGGTTAATGTTATCAAGAGAATGTTTGTTGATTTTAATGTGAACAATATAAATATCTATCTATCGTTGTGAGTTAACAGTTGAGATGGTATAATCCATTAGACTAGATAACAACGTCTAGACAGAAATGTCCCTTTCAATAATTTGTTTGTTTCACCAGGTGGTAATCGAATGGTTTCCCTTGACAACTACACCTGTCAGTTCGCGGTCTATGACATCAGCCTCCAGACGTCATACTCAGTATCATGGGATGGGAGAGTTCTTCCCAGACTCTGTCGTCTGGGTTTCCGGGTACCAAACGTCAATTACTACCAAATCTGTGTTTCCGCCGCCAAGTATGACGTCACGGATTGCGGCTTCACCATGCAGTACTATCATGGGCTTTCAACACAACCGAACAGAGTAAGCAAATGTGTATTTAGTCACCAAGTTCAAATAAAAACTCGACAACTTTTCTACTTGGGAATACCATATCTTTGACCAATGTCCTATGCCGGAAACTTTATATAATTATTGATTAATTAATTTCAATCGTGTATATTTATATGCATCATAACTAGACACACCAGGAGAGTTATTTTATTATTACTTTTGTTACATTTTTCAGAACTACACATACACAATGAACCACATGTGACAATTTTTCGTTCTGTTATTTTACACATGGTATATCATTTTTCTATAAACACATGTGATACTATATCTATAACTATATCTACACCCCGTTCCTGTCCAAATGCAACAGAACTATACATGCACAACTCCATTTTTCGTATTGATACATTTTCAACCTTTTTCAGAACTACACCTGTACAACGCCACCTGTCCGATACTGTGTCAACTCTACTCGTTACTTTTACCTTCACTTCACGGCAAAGCAGGCGTCATTGTCTCACGTCACCATCGATATCATAGCCAAAGCCAGGCAAAAATCAAGTACGTGATACTTATTTCACAATTCATTGCCAAGGCCAGGCACAAACAACGTACGTGATACTTATTTCACAATTCATTGCCAAGGCCAGGCAAAAACAACGTACTTGTTACTTATATCACAAATCATTGCCAAGGCCAGGCAAAAATAACGTACGTTACTTATATCACAAATCATTGCCAAGGCCAGGTATAAACAACGTACTTGTTACTTATATCACAATTCATTGCCAAGGCCAGGCAAAAAAGCGTACGCGTTACTTATTTCACAAATCATTGCCAAGGCCAGGCAAAATAACGTACGTGTTACTTATAATACAAATCATTGCCAAGGCCAGGCAAAAATCAAGTACGTGTTACCTATATCACAAATCATTGCCAAGGCCAGGCAAAAACAAAATACGTGTTACTTATATCACAAATCATAGACGAGGCCAGGCAAAAACCAAATACGTGTTCCTTATATCACAAATCATAGCCGAGGCCAGGCAAAATTAACGTACGTGTTACTTATATCACAAATCATAGCCGAGGGCAGGCAAAAATAACGTACGTGTTACTTATATCACAAATCATAGCCAAGGCCAGGCAAAAACCAAGTACGTGTTACCTATATCACAAATCATTGCAAAGGCCAGGCAAAAACCAAATACGTGTTACTTCCATCACAAATCATTGCCAAGGCCAGGCAAAACCAAGTACGTGTTACTTATATCACAAATCATTGCCAAGGTCAGGCAAAAACCAAATACGTGTTACTTATATTACAAATCATTGCCAAGGCCAGGCAAAAACCAAATACGTGTTACTTCCATCACAAATCATTGCCAAGGCCAGGCAAAACCAAGTACGTGTTACTTATATCACAAATCATATCATTGCCAACGCCATGCAAAAATCAAGTACGTGTTACCTATATCACAAATCATTGCCCAGGCCAGGCAAAAACCAAATACGTGTTACTTACATCACAAATCATTGCCAAGGCCAGGCAAAACCAAGTACGTGTTACTTATATCACAAATCATAGCCGAGGGCAGGCAAAAATAACGTACGTGTTACTTATATCACAAATCATAGCCAAGTCCAGGCAACAACCAAGTACGTGTTACGTATATCACAAATCATTGCCAAGGCCAGGCAAAACCAAGTACGTGTTACTTATATCACAAATCATATCATTGCCAAGGCCAGGCAAAAATCAAGTACGTGTTACCTATATCACAAATCATTGCAAAGGCCAGGCAAAAACCAAATACGTGTTACTTACATCACTAATCATTGCCAAGGCCAGGCAAAAACCAAATACGTGTTACTTCCATCACAAATCATTGCCAAGGCCAGGCAAAACCCAAATACGTGTTACTTATATCACAAATCATCGCCGAGGCCAGGCAAAAATAACGTACGTGTTACTTATATCACAAATCATTGCCAAGGTCAGGCAAAAACCAAATACGTGTTACTTATATTACAAATCATTGCCAAGGCCAGGCAAAAACCAAGTACGTGTTACTTAAATCACAAATCATAGCCGAGGCCAGGCAAAAACAAAGTACGTGTTACTTATATCACAAATCATTGCCAAGGCTAGGCAAAAACCCGGTATGTGTCCCTTCTGTCATAACTTATAGCCAATGCTATGCAAAAAAACCAGCATGTGCCCCTTTTGGCATAACTTATAGCCAAGGCGCGGCAATAACCCACTATGTGTTCCTTCTGTCATAATTTATAGCCAAGGCTAGGCAAAAACCCGGTATGTGTTCCTTTTGTCGGCAACAACCAAATACGGGTTACTTATATCACAAATCATGGCCAAGGCCAGGCAAAAACCAAATACGTGTTCCTTATATCACAAATCATAGCCGAGGCCAGGCAAACATAACGTACGTGTTACTTATATCACAAATCATAGCCAAGTCCAGGCAACAACCAAGTACGTGTTACGTATATCACAAATCATTGCCAAGGCCAGGCAAAAATCAAGTCCGTGTTACTTATATCACAAATCATAGCCAAGTCCAGGCAACAACCAAGTACGTGTTACGTATATCACAAATCATTGCCAAGGCCAGGCAAAAACCAAATACGTGTTCCTTATATCACAAATCATAGCCGAGGCCAGGCAAACATAACGTACGTGTTACTTATATCACAAATCATTGCCAAGGACAGGCAAAAACCAAATACGTGTTACTTATATCCAAGGCCAGGCAAAAATCAAGTACGTGTTACTTATATCACAAATCATAGCCGAGGCCAGGCAAAAACCAAGTACGTGTTACTTATTTCACAACTCATTGCCAAGGCCAGGCAAAAATCAAGTACGTGTTACTTATAATACAAATCATTGCCAAGGCCAGGCAAAAATCAAGTACGTGTTACTTATAATACAAATCATTGCCAAGGCCAGGCAAAAATCAAGTACGTGTTACTTATATCACAAATCATAGCCAAGGCCAGGCAAAAACCAAGTACGTGTTACTTATATCACAAATCATTGCCAAGGCCAGGCAAAACCAAGTACGTGTTACTTATATCACAAATCATTGCCAAGGCTAGGCAAAAACCCGGTATGTGTCCCTTCTGTCATAACTTATAGCCAATGCTAGGCAAAAAAACCAGCATGTGCCCCTTTTGTCATAACTTATAGCCAAGGCGCGGCAATAACCCACGATGTGTTCCTTCTGTCATAACTTATAGCCAAGGCTAGGCAAAAACCCGGTATGTGTTCCTTTTGTCATAATTTATAGCCAAGGCTAGGCAATAACCCACTATTATTCCTTTTGTCATAACTTATAGCCAAGGCTAGGCATAAAACCCAGTATGTGTTCCTTTTGTCACAACTTATAGCCAAGGCTAGGCAACAACCAATTACGTGTTTCCTTTATCTCAAATCATAACCGGGGCTAGACAAAAACCATGTAATGTATTCACATGTTCTCATATCATTACCAAACTAAGCAAAAACCGAGTTCGTTCTTTACGCATTCATAAATGAAGGTCAATCGCGGGTTACTATTGGAGCTGTTCACATGTAAAGAACTTTATTAATCTTTACTTGGGGAATATTGTTTTAATGTTCATGTTAATAGAATATATAAATGCTAATCTTAATAGCATATATGCATGTTTAAATGAAAACGTTAAGGCTTCATATAATCAAATTAAATATATGCATGTAAAAAGAACATTTCTTCGCGTATAATAATCATGTCAAGGACAGTTTACTGTTCATATCAAGGACATTACTAATTGTAAAGAACTTGATGAATCTTAATAGGAATGACAGTTTTTAAACCGGCGATCTACACTGTATATTTACCCAGCGATCAGTGGAATACGATTCACAACTCATCAGGTGTGAAACCAAACGCAATATGGAGATACGTTAATTTAGACGGTGGCTTTCTTACTCAATTACTTTTATTGATAATAGAAATGGTAAAATTTTATTGTTTAGGTCAAAGATCGAGCTCAATGATGGAGGTACTTGTAGGTGGTCTAGCCAGTATCCTGTTTGTTGGATTTTCCTGTTTCGTGTTTGGAGCTCGAAGCAAAAACCCCTGTCTGTGCTTACGGAAACTCTTTGGTCAGTTCGATGCCTGTCGTCCATGTGTTACCCGTATGGAGTCAAATGGATGTGTTCCTCCCCAACCGGAAGCTCCGTCATCAAACAGAATACCACGTGGGGAGTGTTGCTCTCATTCAGCTTGTTGTATTCTTCTTGGTTGTGCCATTACCGGAAACGTCGAACGAACGCAAGGACAAACGTCAGGCACGACACATGACCGTGCAGATCATATCATCACAGACCAGTCAGAGCTAGACCAACCACCACGTAAGTGAACGTGTCAACACAGCCGTCACGTGTCCCGACTCAACGCGTTACCATTAACCTATAGTCAGTTTGGTTTACGTTAGGTATTGGTAGAGCAGGTTGCGAAACACGTTCAGGCTGTTAATATTTCAGATATATTTATAAATGTATATTAAATACTTCTTTTTTCCTACTGATCGCACACTGGAAAATATTGGTTTACAAGAAAATGCATGTATAACACAAATGAGATTTAATGAAAAAGATTAGTGAAACTTTATCTCTGAATGTAAGGGACAGTTTGTTGAACAATGTTGGCATTGCTATAACTAAATCATCTCTGCGCTTGTCTGAGACAACGTTTTGACCCATAACAGATTAGACATTTGATGTATTGATCCAGTTACACGTTTACATTTCCAATAGATAGGTCCCTAAATTACACTAGAACCCTTACAATCTCAGCATTCTTATTGACACACCGTACATGTCTCTAAAGGCGAACATCAAACCGTTCAAACGGAGGTTGTGTTAGGGGTATCAATCAACTAGGTAAGACATAGTTATATAGCTCCACACCTCTATCTGAGTTTACTTCTGTACAAACCTAAGTATTATATACTTGTATATATATATCCCGAGTATTAATATACAAGCTTAACCTGTTTGTCAGGTCATCATGACTATATTTCTAAATATGATATATCAGTGTCTAGTGTGTGAGGGGTTAAGTAATTGCTCACTGTGTGTTACATAGCTGGTGACCAAATCTAGTTTGCCCGATGCGGCCTTTGGTGGGTAGTGGAGTTGTTTGGATAGAGGGGCGGTACGGCCTCTGGTGGGTAGTGGAGTTGTTTGGATAGAGGGGCGGTACGGCCTTTGGTGGGTAGTGGAGTTATGTGGATAGAGGGGCGGTACGGCCTTTGGTGGGTAGTGGAGTTGTTTGGATAGAGGGACGGTACGGCCTCTGGTGGGTAGTGGAGTTGTTGTGATAGAGGGGCGGTACGGCATTTGGTGGGTAGTGGAGTTGTTTGGATAGAGGGGCGGTACGGCCTTTGGTGGGTAGTGGAGTTGTTTGGATAGAGGGGCGGTACGGCCTTTGGTGGGTAGTGGAGTTGTTTAGATAGAGGGGCGGTACGGCCTTTGGTGGATGGTGGAGTTGTTTGGATAGAGGGGCGGTACGGCCTATGGTGGGTAGTGGAGTTGTTTGGATAGAGGGGCGCTACGGCCTTTGGTTGGTAGTGGAGTTGTTTAGATAGAGGGGCGGTACGGCCTTTGGTGGATGGTGGAGTTGTTTGGATAGAGGGGCGGTACGGCCTATGGTGGGTAGTGGAGTTGTTTGGATAGAGGGGCGGTACGACCTTTGGTGGGTAGTGGAGTTCTATGGATAGAGGGGCGGGACGGCCTTTGGTGGGTAGTGGAGTTGTTTGGATAGAGGGGCGATACGGCCTTTGGTGGGTAGTGGAGTTGTTTGGATAGAGGGGCGATACGGCCTTTGGTGGGTAGTGGAGTTGTTTGGATAGAGGGGCGGTACGTCCTTTGGTGGGTAGTGGAGTTGTTTGGATAGAGGGGGGGTACGGCCTTTGGTGGGTAGTGGAGTTCTATGGATAGAGGGGCGGTACGGCCTTTGGTGGGTAGTGGAGTTCTTTGGATAGAGGGGCGGTACGGCATTTGGTGGGTAGTGGAGTTGTTTGGATAGAGGGACGGTACGGCCTCTGGTGGGTAGTGGAGTTGTTGTGATAGAGGGGCGTACGGCCTTTGGTGGGTAGTGGAGTTGTTTGGATAGAGGGGCGGTAAGGCCTTTGGTGGGTAGTGGAGTTGTTTGGATAGAGGGACGGTACGGCCTCTGGTGGGTAGTGGAGTTGTTGTGATAGAGGGGCGTACGGCCTTTGGTGGGTAGTGGAGTTGTTTGGATAGAGGGGCGGTAAACGCTAAAGGTAGGGTGTATTGATGTAACTGCCTCTGTGCGATATCGATATCTGATGCCGACTTTAGAGTGCTACCTCCTTGAACTACCATACCGCAGGCACCAAACACAGTATTCGAATTTCCATCCGGTCTCATTATACTGGCAACGGGTAAGCTAGTTGTTGCGATAGCCCTAAATGCCGATTGTTAAGCAGGGAATAACAACTATCATGTTAAGGCATGTTGACAGGGAAGGTTTGTGGATGAGATTATCTTCTTTTTTTTGTCGGCGCGATTATTGTTTTTGAAGCTGTATCATATCAAATACATATGTATTTATTCAATCTTGCTATATTTAATGACACTGACAAGAATATGTGTACCTATCGTACATGAACAGGACAAGCCGGTATTACAAGAAAACTTTAAATTAAGAAGACATGTGTTTAACTTTTAATATGTTACTTTTCAGCCTACAATTCTCTAACGACAGACGGAAGGAGTGACCCGTCCGAAATTATCCAACCACCACCAATATGGATTCAGATGTCTCCGCCTCCTTACGAAGCCCCGCCCCCTTCCTACGAGGACATTATCAGCAATAAGTGACAATAGACATCTTTGTTATACCTGTGTCGAAATACACATGAACCATGTATGAAGTCGTATGCACACATTTCATAGTATGATAAACGAGCCTCATCTAGCTTGGATTTACAGTTTCGATATTAAAACTAACAAGTACGGATTCATATGTACTTCTGGATTATCAAGGAAAATGATAGCAAGGATATGTATCGGACAATGCTGATTGAACATCCTATACACCAGTAGTTCTTAACGAACCACATAGGTTACATGTAGTTACCAGACATTTGTTGACAAATTGGAACCTGATGCACATACAAATATAAACATATCGTCTCAGCATCCTTTAACACGCCGGACGAAATTTATCGACGAAGTACATGTTGAGATTGCACATGTACGATGTAAACATATATTGAAGAACAAACATTAAATTAGCCGTTATGTTTCTTTCGTATTTTGACATCACACATCCATGCCGCTCTATCGTTATTTTCAATAAACCGTGTTCGTTGTCTTTTTAAACTCAAGGTAAACGCTGCTCACATTTGGACAAGGACAACAACCTAGTGTCTATATAATTGACAACATGTATGTTCTCTCTAACTGACTTAGTTATTGCTGATTTTTTTAAAATGTTTGTTCTGCGTACAGAAATAATGAACGTGAAGTTGATATCAATGCGCTTTTTGAATAATTAAAATAAGTTAACTACTCGGTGTTATATTTAGCATATGTCATCTGATAAAGCTTTCACTAAGCTTGTTTATTCATTTTACCAACAGTTAAAACATTACTTTAACGAAAACCAACATTTCTTTTATGTTTTTGGGTTTTTTCATGCATTTCTAAACACATACCAAGCGATTAGTCTTTATTCATTCACTCAATAAACTACAATGTATTTTCATTGATATTAACCTATGACAGCTAGTTAATAAAATCGTCACAATTAACTTTTGTTTGTAAATACTGTCTGTAAGCCGTATTGTATTGTGTTGATTAGGCTACACTGTTACACAGTGAAATATGACGTACAAACAGTCTATCAACATCAAAACCAAAACATTGAATATACTATAAGCTTTACATTTATTCACAAACCCTATTGAAAAGGTAGCACACTTTTGATATTGCACCAATGATAGATCCTTTATACCTATTTCTAAACTGCATATGCCAAAAGTCAGGAGTGCGGTAGGTTTGGTATTTCGGTTATCTAGCTGTTCTATTCAGTGGTATGACACTATGAAGAGCCGTTAGAAATACGGACTCATAACGAGTAAACACTGCAGACACACACCTCAGAACGTCACTAGTATAAGCCGGTTCTTCTGCTTAGGGAAGGACTTTCATCTATTGACAAAAACGTAACTAAAACAGCATGCCTACTTTATATCTTTTTGTGTATTTTCAACAAAAACGTTTTACAGATATCTCATTTTGAATATTTATAATAAAGACTCGTCCAGCTTTAATCAGCCTTTGGATAACTGAGTCGGGTGATTTAAGAAGTATAATCAATTAATATGTGGAACCCACTAATGGAAAAACTGCACGATTGCGTTTTAGAAAAGTAATGAAGTACTGACACAAAAATATACCAAATGATCGGCCTTGATATCCCTTTACCCAACCCGATTGCAAGAACATGTGTTCGTCTTCAAGTCTATTCTGTCAATAAAAGCTGTATTTTTTACTTAAATTTTACAATAACCAGGCTGTTCTGTTATGAATCGGGAAATATATTAAAGATTTAGTTAAAATTTGGAAAATTTTCCTCATATTTTGTTCATTTGGAAAAATTAAGGACCTCTTGCTCGGAGAAAGCAGCCTGTAGTCGGCTGTAAATCTAAGCAAAAATCACTTTAAAAAAAGTATTTTATTTCATTTATACCATCTGCTGATGTTTGACCTAGATAATATTATCTATATGATTTTAGTGTAGACTATTTAGGGTTATATTTATTTCTAATTAAAAAGATTCAATATCAGAGTTCTACCCTTTGTTGAAATATGTCGAGTGGATTTGTTTATTGTGGATAGATTTATGTTTACATATTGATATTATGATTTTAATAAAGTTATCTTTTGCAAGTAATTATTTCGTTGTTTATATTTTGTGATTACTCTGGTAAAATTTTAGTCTCAATCTCCCATAATTGTTATACATTTCTCCTCTTATATTCGATAATCGTGTCATTTGACTTTAAACATATTGTATTGTCCAAAATAGGTACAAAGTAGTAGGCACAAGTTATGCACAAGTTATAGCAACTTATGAAGCCGTCTCCTATCAACAAAATATTTCATATATATATACAAGTGATGATATAGATAATTGATTTCAAATTCAACAACTGAAACGAGTCAATTACATGCAAATTGTAATAAATATCTTTATAAAGTTTATATTAAAAAAATCTTCCGCCTGAAAGATATAAAATCAGTAAAAAAATGTCCCCGTTCCTAAGAGTGACCGCTGGCTATATGATCACGTGATCCTCCCTCGTGTGATAATCGTGTGACTGAGGTGTTTTACTTACCTTTCCTTCTGTTTCAACAATAGGTTAGACCTTTTTGGAATTTTTTTGCCCAGTGCATCACCGAGATGCCAGGCTCGGCGAGACAGTCGTATGATGCAGTGTAATTCATTAGTGGCATACTACTGTATCTATTACAACACTTAATGAGTGCAAACCCGTGTGTGTCTATTCATCTTTATTATTACGTCATTCAAAAATGTATTATTACGTCCTTCAAAACAAAACAAAATCATTTTTAAACTAACACGTCTGACAAAAAAACCTGTTATGATCGTAACAGAAGCACATTACCTAACGCTGTCGTGCTTAAATGACGCGTCAGACGAAAGCTTTACGTAACGGCTAATAGACGACATCTTGTGGTATACGGTTCATGGCAATTCGAATGGATTCGGAATACCCTTTCGACATTTTCTACAAAACATAGGCGAGGTGTTCCGAATGTGTCTGTATGTGATGTATGTGTTTTCAGTTCGTGTAGTGTCTTGATTAGAGGGTGTAAGTGTTGTCAAGGACGTATATACTGTCCCTGGTGTTGTCTAGTAAACACCATTTACATATATACCAGTTCAAGGCTCATGCTACTGTTACACATTTCAAGAAACTTACATTTAACACTGAAGAAATACAAGTATATCACAAACAGTCACTCGCTAAGACATTATACGAATCTTAACACAGAAAAAGTATATCACAAACAGTCACTCGCTAAGACATTATATAAATCTTAAAACAGAAAAAGTATATCACAAACAGTCACTCGCTAAAACATTATACAAACCTTAATACAGACAAAATTATATCACAAACAGTCACTTGCTAAGACATTATATAAATCTTAACACAGAAAAAGTATATCACAAACAGTCACTCGCTAAGACATTATACAAATCTTAATACAGTCAAAATTATATCACAAACAGTCACTCGCTAAGACATTATACAAATCTTAACACAGAAAAAGTATTTCACAAACAGTCACTTGCTAAGACATTATACTAATCTTAACAATGAAAACGTTTATCACAAACAGTCACTCGCTAAGACATTATACAAATCTTAATACAGACAAAAGTATATCACAAACAGTCACTCGCTAAGACATTATATAAATCTTAACACAGAAAAAGTATATCACAAACAGTCACTCGCTAAGACATTATACAAATCTTAAATAGACAAAATTATATCACAAACAGTCACTCGCTAAGACATTATATAAATCTTAACACGGAAAAAGTATTTCACAAACAGTCACTCGCTAAGACATTATACTAATCTTAACAATGAAAAAGTTTATCACAAAAAAGTCACTCGCTAAGACATCATACGATTCGAATCTTAACAATGATTAATAGAATCTTCCCCTACCTTGAGGGTGTGACAGAGAAATCTCCTACCCGAGGGGTGATTTTTTTGGTTGTCTAACCAACAAAAACACCCCGAGGGCAAGATATTTCTCTGTTACTCCCTCTGGTTAGTTTTCTCCCATCCTAATATTTCAGTCACAGCTCCGCCGACAATAATCTGCCTTTGTTTGTAAACAAAAACACGTAGGGTATGAATATCGTCATTCACTTTTGATGACGTCACAATTACACCGGTGACACATTTTAATGACGTCACAATTGAACACGTGCTAATCGGCACGAGGCTTTCACCTAACAAAACACGAATTTTAACAAAGACATCTATACCAAAGTTACTATCTAAGACATTACACGAATTTTACACCGAACAAAACACGAATTTTAACAAAGACATATATACCAAAGTTACTATCTAAAGTTACCGATTTGCCTCACTTGATAATGCCCATAGTGACCACTCGGGAACATCCACTCCGCGACATACTTCGCTAGATGAGCGACACTCCCTTAATCTACACCACAGCTATAGTGATGCAGATGGAGGTAGAACCTCACAGCATAGCCATATATCATGGCAGGAAGATGACATAACCGGAAACATTATTCCCCTGGCGACATCATCCCCCAAGGCACACCAATCCACCAGCGAACTGACGACAACAACCGACTCAGAAATCACGAGTGCCTTAGTACGAGAACAGGATAACACCCTAAACATCATGGTTATCAACTTTCAGAGCATGACCAATAAATCGCTAGAGCTCCACAACATCATATCAAGTTCCCTACCAGCAGTGATAATTGGCACAGAGACCCACCTGACGAAACACCACGGTAATGCAGAACTACTCCCCCATGACATACCTGATCACCACCAGTACAAGGTATATCGGAAAGACAGAGGAGAAATCATCAATAAAAGTGGAGGAGGAGTGGTAATAATGGTAAGACCTGACATTGAGGCAGACGAGTGTCCAGATTTAGATACCACCTGTGAAATTAAATGGCTGGAAATAAAACCAAACCGCCACGATAAGTTGTTGATTGGTTCTTTCTACCGACCACCCACATCCACTATAGATTCATTGGATGAACTTGGGAAATCCCTTGGGAAAATCAACAACTCCCCTCTAAAGAACCATAAAATTGTGCTCGGCGGCGACTTTAATCTCGGGGACATAAACTGGGAAAATGGACCAGCCCCACCTGGATCCAGGGACAAATCGGACTGCGACAAACTCCCCACACTACTTAACAACCACCACCCGGAACAGACAAACAGACTACCAACAAGGAACGACATAATTCTAGACCTCCTGATAACATCACACCCAAACCTCGTCATGAAACAGACAACACTACCACCCATTGGAAAAGCAGACCACGATATATTATCAACAACAGTTACCGTAAGACCATATACAGCAAAACAGGATTATAGATATATACCCGTATACAACAAAGCCAAATGGGACCAGATCAGAGAAGAAATGCATACACTTAGGATACAACAGGACAACACACCAGACCAGACAGTAGAAGAAATATGGCAGCAGTTAAAAGGAACTATAGAAAGATGCATTAAGGAACATATCCCAAGGAAGAAATTAGGACGAAGAACAGTGGTACGGTGGATGACTAGGGAGATAAATGACTGATAAATAAGAAACAGAGACTTTATAACAAGAGCAAGAAGAACGGAGACGATCAAGACAGAAAGAAATTTAGGGAAATTCAGAGAGTAATCAAACTACACAGTGCATATTGGAACTACCTCAACAACATGTTAGACCCGGAGAAAGACAGCACATCAAAATCTTTTTGGAAATTTATTAAAGCTAGGAATCAGGACACGACAGGAATCAGCACACTGAAAGCAGACAGCACCATAGCAGACACAGCACAGAAAAAGGCAGATTTACTCAACAAACAATTTACATCAGTATTCACCACAGAGGACACCACATCTATACCGCACAAGGGAGACAGCAAATTCACACCAATGGAAATCATCATCATCAGTGTTAGGGGCGTAGAAAAGGCACTTGACCGACTCAATCCCAGAAAAGCCAATACGGATCTTGAAGGAAACATCGGCAGTGGTACCGTGGATGACTAGGGAGATAAAAAGACTGATAAATAAGAAACAGAGACTTTATAACAAGAGCAAGAAGAACGGAGACGATCAGGACAGAAAGAAATTTAGGGAAATTCAAAGAGTAATCAAACTACACAGTGCATAATGGAACTACCTCAACAACATGTTAGACCCGGAGAAAGACAGCACATCAAAATCTTTTTGGAAATTTATTAAAGCTAGGAAACAGGACACGACAGGAATCAGCACACTGAAAGCAGACGGCACCATAGCAGACACAGCACAGAAAAAGGCAGATTTACTCAACAAACAATTTACATCAGTATTCACCACAGAGGACACCACATCTATACCGCACAAGGGAGACAGCAAATTCACACCAATGGAAATCATCATCATCAGTGTTAGGGGCGTAGAAAAGGCACTTGAGCGACTCAATCCCAGAAAAGCCAATACGGATCCTGAAGGAAACATCGGCTGACACTACACACATCCTCACAGCACTTTACCAGAAATCAATCGACACCACAACTATACCGGCAGACTGGAAAGAAGCAAACATCGTACCCATATACAAGAAAGGCGACAGATCCAAACCAGCAAACTACAGACCAGTCTCGCTCACATCATTACCCTCAAAGATGCTAGAACACATCATAGTTTCGCAGATAATGGACCACCGAGACAGACAGAACATACTACACGAAAATCAACACGGCTTCCGAAGAAAACGCTCCTGCGAATAACAACTATTCCTCACTACAGACGACATCACTAAGCACATCAACATCAACAAGACACAAGTAGACATTGCAATTCTAGACTTCGCCAAGGCATTCGACAAAGTCGCACACCAACGACTCTCATCAAAACTACACCACTACGGGATACAGGGGACCACACAGAAATGGATTGACAACTTTTTGACAGATAGGAAACAACAAGTGCTAGTAGAAGGAAAAGTATCGCAATCATTACCAGTAACATCAGGAGTACCACAGGGAACAGTCCTCGGACCTACACTATTTTTAATATTCATCAACGACATTGCATACCAAATCGAATCAACCATCAG